AAACGCAGAGGGACGGATTCCGAGCGAATGAAAATTGCTTACGCAGCTCGGATTCCCTCTTTTCCTCCAAAGCTTAGTCCCAAAACTGGAAGTTTTCGTGAATATGACGCAATGTTACAAGCTGGCCCCCCTGGAGCCTCACTGCACCGTGATTTAACGCTATACTTAAGCTGCGCACGTTCTCTGGGATCGGTCCGGCCTAAAGCTTTCCATTTTCAAAACATATAGATCAGGCTTGTTTTGGCAGTGCACCTTCTTGAACATTACTCATCCTTACTTGAACTCTAACTTTTCCCTGTGTACTACAAATAAATAGAAGTAACTAAAGGAGGGTGCTATTTCAGTTGGGGGGGGGGACCACGCGGCGGAGCGGCGCTATGTTCGTGTCCTCCTGCCAATTCCTTTCAGCTCGAAACTGTTCGATTCTGACAAGCAAACCCGTCTGCACATAACCCTTTTACAATTTTCGTTACGGTATCGCAAAAGTTGTGTATCACGGACTCAATGCAATTCAAATTCCTCAACGCTCGAGCGCCAACTTCAGTTTTTTTTAGTAGGGTTTTCTACTTGAAATGCTCACGACTTTCTTCTTTTAATACCGTTTTCATAGGTATGTTAAAAACCTAGACAGATGCTATTGTGAGATAGGTGACTTACACTGCTTGGTATCGGGTGTGAGACGTAATTCAACTGAAGTGAACATTTTTCCGAATACTTCTTTCTTTTGAGACTGGAATATTGTTTTGTAATATTTCTTACGCGATATCATACATTTTATCGTTGTTTTATCTCATTATGTCTAGCCAATCCCGTATACTTAGTTTATAAGCGTTTGATCTCATAGCTGTCACCTTCCTTGATATTTATGATTACGATATCTCATTAACCGTAACAGATTCCGGTACTATTTAACGACCCACTAGATCTAGGTACTGAGGTGACCCAAGTGTCTGCACCAGTGGAACCCACTATAGCAAAAAATAACTTCGTGTGAAGGGTGCCTCTCCGGAGCGGTGTTCAAGTGCGCTGTTCACGATCAGGACATCCATATTTGGCGCACTCTGGAGCCTGTCTGGCAGCAACATTGTGTCCAGTTGTGCTAAAATGGCACCAAACGACCATACTCTGGCACCAGAAATGAATGTCGAATTGGTGATCGGGGCACAGGAATAACCCAAAGTTTAAGTTCACAGCAATTTTGTGGACATGTTGCACCAACGAATAATGGTTGACATATCCGTAAACAATTCACGAAAAAGTTTCCATGAACGATGTTGTGGTGATGGAATTTTTTCACCCCGTCGGTTTCCCAGTGTTGCAGGGGACTGGGAATTATTAACTTAATAGTGTGAAATTGAGGTTTTTGGGTTTGTAAAATTAATAGTGCCCAGCTTTCATTGGTACTATTATAATACTCAAGCCGTATTTTGATAATTGTGAAAAATAGCGAATTTGTTAAGCCAAGATAATTCCAAGGATGTGTCCCATCTATGATGTCTCTGTTTCGTTTTAGATGGACCAATTATGGGTGAAGTGCACTTTGGAGCACTACGATACTACGTCTGTGAAGAAGTTCGATGGATCTCTGTTCGTAGACACAAGCGACAACTCCTTCAAAATTATATCTAGTAATAAAACAGAGGTACAGTACTGTTCCTACTATTGTCTGGCTTTCACTATTTCAATTCACTCGTACGAATTCATTCTAGCGCTTCATTTCAGCATAAGTTCTATGCAAGCGAGTTTAACCGCTTAGGAAAACCGCCAAGTAAAAGTACGGCCAAACAGTTCGATCTCGAATTCAATTTGTCAAAGCAGTTACCAGCGAAACATCATATAAGGTTCTTTATTACAACCATACTTTCTGCAGCACAGCTTGAGAGGGGAGAGGGAGGTGGCCTGGTGCTTCGCTCGTCTGCGCCTTCTCAGCAACACAGTAATAACATTCTGCGAAACGAGTTCCGTTAACCAGGGCTTTGAGCAGTTCAGGAGGCAGGAGTAGACAAGTTATTTAACGAACCTGAGAAAGCGGAATAGAGAGTCACACTTCGTCGCTGAGGCGTGGCAGACGAACATCGCCGTCCGCCCTATCCCCTTCCAACTACACTAGCATCTACCTTTTTGTTGAAAAATAAGTATAATATCTGGAAGCATTTATTCAGAAAAAGAAAACTGGTATTTCGAGTGGCGGAGTTTTCTCAACGGATCAGAGATGTTTACGACGAGTTGGCAAAAATTTTCCCTAGAGGAGCAAGTAAGTAATTCGTGATTATTTTCCGTACAATCGCTTCGAGATTTCATTTCTCTTTTTATATGAATTTTTATGTTTGAACTAAATTTATGAATTTTTATTTTTGAGGTGCCGATCGAGAACCTTCGCGTAAAGTTACTTCTCCGGTAGGTATGCTCCGTAGTCGTCCAGAAACAAGCAAACGAAGTCGACAGGATGTAACAGGGTTGGTTTTTTGCTTTGCCTCTTCTTTTTATTATTTCATTTCCTCATTCGAAGAATTGTTGAGCTTGATATTCCATAGATTTTTTGTTGTTACTGCTGTGCCCTTTCAGGCGACCACCGTCTTTTGTCACAGAAACGCCACAGCAGAACAAAAACTACGAAGCCAGGTTTGTACTTGCAATCTATGATTACATTCATCCGTTTTTGGAGTAAAAGCTTTATAGGCGGCACTCCTACCTCCAGCTCGAGACCGCGAAGCCGAACTAGTCAAAAAAGCTCACAATCTAATGTTGAAAATCGCTTGAAGAGCCCAAACTCGGGAATAGCCAGTCTGGTGGAAAATCGCAAAGAGATTGTAAGGGATGATGTCATCGAAGAGCCAAGGTACCTCGGCGAGATTTTCGAGAGACGACTCTGATGAGTTTTTCCAA